CTGGAGGCAGAATCTCTTCCTCCTTCACGACCACCTCATCATGTAGAAACTCCTCCTGTGGGTAGTGTGTTTGCTTTAAAGGCTCTTTCCCGAGTGGTGTGGTCTTGTTTCAGGCAGGCCAGGAAGTAGGCCTCTTCTGAGGATCTCTACTTTCTGCTCAGGCATACGCAGCACCAGAGCAGCCTGCCCTGACAAGGCTGCGGGGGACGCTTTTATCTGGACCTCTTCCACTTGAGAGGCGGGCTCCCTAGATGGGCTCCGTATGGAATCTCAGATCCTCCTTGTAGGAAATAGGCCCCTTTAGGCCATACTTTTGTGATTTCTCAGTTTTTCCCAAAATATGTGCATTCTGTTTGTAAATAATGGAGCCTGTACTTTTTTCAGCTTTGGCTTCAAAAATCAAAGATGTTGAGGTGATGAGAATGTTCTACAATTGATCATGGTGATGGTCGTACCACTCCGTGAATATGCTAAAAACCATTGGCAGGTATACTTTAAATGGGCGAATTGAATGGCATGTGAAGTGTATCTCAATAAGGCTGATAAGAAAAAATAAAAAAAGAAGGGACTTGCCAGACATTCGTATTCTACATCATTCTATTTGTTGCCATACTGTGACTTAGTTGAAATCATGCCACTAAAAGCTAGCCGTCTGCGTGGAGTGGTCCTGTGGTTTGGAGCATTGGCCTGCTTAATTGCTGCTCTCCAAAGAGTGTCTTCATAGATGCGTAGGTAGTTAGAGTTCTATTTGTTTATCTTCCTCTGTTTTGAATGCAAGCCCCTGTATAACAAGAGAACATCATAGCTCTCCCTTTGCCATTTTCTTTATTTTATTTTATTTTATTTTATTTTTTTGAAACAAGAGTTTCGCTCTTGTCACTCAGGCGGCTGGAGTGCAGTGGTGTAATCTCAGCCCACTGTAGCCTCTGCCTGCCAAGTTCAAGTGATTCTCCTGCCTCAGCCTCTCGAGTAACTGGAATTACAGGTGCCTACCACCATGCCTGGCTAATTTTTGTAATTTTAGTAGAGACAGGGTTTCTCCATGTTGGCCAGGCTGTTCTCAAATTCCTGACCTCAGGTGATCTGCCCACCTCGGCCTCCCAAGGTGCTGGGATTGTAGGCGTGAGTCACCGTGCCTGGCGTCCCTTTGCTGTTTTCTAAGTTCTGGCTGCGCTCATTTATTATTGTGTTTTTAATTAGCATCTGGTAAAAACTATTCAGAATTTTTATATCTGTTGACTTACAAATTTCTCCACCTAATTTTAATGTAAAATTAACTAAGTTTTTTTAAATTCTGCCTTTTGTTCCTTTTGTTTTACTTGGTAGTCCCCTAGTCAGTGCCTACAGCAGAGGGCAAAAGAGAATGAGTTCTTTTTATAATAAAATAATTATTCACTTTGCATGTGAACAGTTTTGCCAGGCAGTGAAACCAGATGACAAGCTGAAATCTGAATCAGAAATCAGGTTAGGATTGCCCAAATGATTTATGGATTCACTTGTTTTTGCTCAATGAATCTTTTGTTTTAATTTTCTAATTAGCTTGAGAAAAACGTTTTTAAGGGGTACTACTTATCACCCATTCAGCTTTTTCTCAATGTATGTCATACAAGATCAGTTAACCAATATTAAATAACAAATTCCGATTAATTCACCTAAACAGATTTAGCCATGAAATACAAATGGAATTTGAACAAACCTTAGGAGGCAGATATTCCACAGGTGAGAAGAGAAACAAGAGGAGTCAAAGTAGAGAGGAATTCTAGCAGATTCCACCCTTTCTTCCTCTGCTTTAAGCTTCTGCTTACCCATAACAGTGACACTGGGTCTAGATGAGCTTAATTTTAATATCATAAGAATATATATAAATACCCCATTTTGGACTTTCTTTTAATAATCTTCAGCAACTTTCATGAGACATGCAAATCTAAAATTTAAAACACTCAGATTAAATTGTTTGGGCAATGATGATAAAGATATGTCCATGTGGAGGTCTGTGATGCGACATTATTGTTTAACTGAATTCCTCGGGGTGAGTCTGCTGCTTTTCCTTGCATATAAACACTATAACGTGCTTGTGGATTCACTTGTAAATATTTTGAATTTATTTTATAGCAAATAGTATTGATTGATTAAATGGCATATTAAATAGTCTATATTCTTTGTTTTGTCTTTAGATGATGATTATCTAGAAAAGAACATTCCACCAGAGGCTGAAGAGCTGTCATTTGAAGTGTCTTATTCAGAAATGGTTACAGAGGCTCTAAAAAGAAATAAACTTAAGAAATCAGACATTAAGAAAGAAGACTATGTTTTAACTGTAAGCAAAACCTTTCATGATTATTCCAGGAACTTCCTGTGACTTCACAGGACAAAACTAAGATTTCTTTTTTTAAATATCTCTGTGTGTGCACAAGGGGTTTTGGGAGGCCAGGCCTCACACTGTTCATAGTACCATTTCGGGTGTTATTTGGGCACCACTGGTTGTGTAGTGCACAGCCTGCCTGGCTGTACCTGGCGTTCCTGTGTTGAGGAAAGTTGTGAGACCGTAGGCTTGAATACTGTTTTACAAATGAAATAGGATTCTACCTGGCTTGTGAGCCTTCTTGCACTTTACATTCTTACTTTACTTATACATCAATGCAGACCCTACCTTTACACACTTGTGCCTCTGTAAGCCACGTATCAGAAGAGGGGACTGCAAAAAGTCACAGGCATAAGAGGAAGTGAGAGCTCACGGAACAGACAGTAAAAACACATCAAAACCAATTCAAGAACTTCTATTGTTACACGATGGGCAAAGAGAGCTATATACTTTGTTACCCCAAAGTCTAATTATTTAAATCCAGAATGTTATATCCAGGACGCCTCATAGAGAACTATGTAACATTGGTCTATTTGCCATTCAACCAATGCATGTGTGAGAAGTTTATCATGTGGAGTCTTGAATACTCTGTGCTGATTAGGGTTGGAGGCATGATGAGCGGGGCCCAGGCAGTTTCAGAGCTAAAAAAATGAGTCATCCAGAAACAGACTTTTTGTACCAGGTTACTTGAACCGTTCCCAAGAAACCATCCCATGACAGAGGAGAGGAAGAAGAAGGGAAGAACTCTCGGACTCACTGAGTGCCTTCTACAGGCATGACACTGAACTAGGTATTCTATTAATAATGTAAGGTGGACCCTGGTGACTATTCCCATTTTACAGCTGAGGAAACTGAGGCCCAGAAAGGCTGAGTAACATGTCCAAAGCCCGCAGCTAGTGGGAAGCAGAAATAGGATTTGAAACTAAGTGTGTCCCACTTCAAAACCCTTCCTGGTCATTAAGCAGTCTCCAGGTTAGAGGGCAACATGTGGTGGTCTAGGGAAAAGAGAGAAGCCTGCAGGACTCTGGTTTCAGGGGGAGCCCCTCCTTATCTTAAAGAGAGGCACCCAAGAGAGGATGCTGGCCTCGGCATCTCCTCATTGAAGCCAGCTCCTTCTGAGGTTTGGCTCTTCCCATGAAGAACTTTGCATAGGATTTAGCACATAGTAGTTGGTCAATAAATGACTGCAATTTTTGTTTCTGTTGTTGTTACGTATTACTGATATATGAGGACTTAGCCTCAAAAAGAAGGTAAACCAGCTAAGCGTTTAATAGCACAAGGCATGCCCCAAACCACATCCTACATTTTGTTTTATTTTTAAATACTTGAGGTTCCAAGGAGCAATTATTGAATGAATAAAGGAATGAATTAATGGATAGATTCTTTGACTACCCCAAGGAAGCTCCAATTTGGGAAACTGCTTTGGAAAATGTGAACTTAAAGCTTTATAATTTAAATTTAAGTGTTTATAATTTTATCTATGGGTTTGGGTTTTTTTGTTTACTTCAGCATTTTTTTCAATGCCACCCTTTCTGAGGGCAAAGTGAACCTGTGGGTGTTACATAGGAACCATCTTTTGCTTCTAAAAGGTCTTGCTGCTTACATTCATCACAGTATTTCTGCATCGTTGGACGATTTGCTGCTGTTGTTGTTTTAGTGTCTTTTGTTTCTTAGTGTGAAAATGGAGAATATGTCAGTCTCATTGTCTTCAAAATCATAGTAGGATTATTTGCACTTTCTCTGTATTTTGCTTTTTTAAGAATTTGGAATCATTTAAATTTAATTTTTTTTTTTTTTTTTTTTTTTTTTTTTTTTTTTTTTTTTTGAGACGGAGTCTCGCTCTGTAGCCCAGGCTGGAGTGCAGTGGCGGTATCTCAGCTCACTGCAAGCTCCGCCTCCCGGGTTGACGCCATTCTCCGGCCTCAGCCTCCCGAGTAGCTGGGACTACAGGCGCTGCCACCTCGCCCGGCTATTTTTTGTATTTCTTAGTAGAGATGGGGTTTCACCGTGTTAGCCAGGATGGTCTCGATCTCCTGACCTCGTGATCCGCCCATCTCGGCCTCCCAAAGTGCTGGGATTACAGGCTTGAGCCACCGCGCCCGGCCTTAAATTTAATTTTTATGGTAGAATAGCTGTTGTCTCAGCAAGCATATATAATCAGTTTAAACTGGGAGTTTCCTAAAGTGTGCAGTATGGGATAGATAAACCTTGATTTAAAGATTGACTGTCCAAGAAGGAAAAAAAAACACGTTTGGAGCTCTCCTGGGATATACCTAGGTGTGTTTCCTGGTATGTGTGTGTCACATGTAGTTCCAATTAAGGGCCATGGTGTGTGCATTCCATGTGGTGCCTGACATATATGTTGTTTGACTATATCGGGTGTTCCTTGTAAAGAAGTCAGTCCTCACAGTTGCGATGGCAATGTTATCATATACTTTAGACTGCTGTTTTGCTTCTAATTAGCATAGTGGTGATCTGCAAATGTTCTAAACCACATATTCATATTTCTAGGATGCAGCATGCTCCTTAGAGATATTTTGCAAAGAACATGTTCTACTCCATAGATTTAGAGTGTCCAGGTGGCATTTGAGTGAAGGTATAATAATTTTCCTTTACCAGAAAAAATAAATGCCCTCACTGTGTGTTTTAGAAATTTATTGTTCAGAAAACCAGATTCGGCTTAACTGAAGCAGGAGATCTGTCTGCTGAAGACATGAAGAAAATCCGCCATCTCTCTCTCATTGAATTGACTGCCTTTTTTGATGCCTTTGGAATTCAACTGAAAAGAAACAAAACAGAGAAAGTAAAAGGACGAGGTAACTAAGAAGACTGATTGCTTCTGGCTTTAACACTTTGACACAGTGGAATAAGATAATGCTTTTCTGAGTCTTTTTTCTTTCTCCCTTTACTGTCTCACAATGAAGACAATGGGATTTTTGGAGTTCCGCTTACAGTCCTCCTGGACAGTGACCGAAAGAAAGACCCTGGAGTGAAAGTTCCCCTGGTATTACAAAAAGTGAGTAGCAGGCAAACGAAAGGGGAATTCACAGAGCCTCATGCTTATGATTTGTTACTTTGTAAACCCACAAATAAATTTTCTTTTAGATTTAAAGACACTGTCGCCCTATTAGGACCCAGGCCCCTGGTGATTTTCAGCTTTATTCCATGAACCGCGTAACAGCCCATGGCTCCTGGATGAGTTGGCCTTGCTGCATTCTTTTGGAGCCTGTTACTTTTTATTTGCTCATAACACATCAGGTGATGGACACAGATGTTCTGACCCAGGGCACAAACAGTCACATTTTTTTCCAATATTTTTTCAAATGTTATTTGCCCCTATGAATGTGTTTGTGTATTTGATTATTCTGTCTAGATAAAGATGACCATTAATTATCACCATGCATATATAAACCATACAAATATTTGCTGAGATATAGCATAGGCTGGGTTTTAAAAATATGTATATGTGTAATCATTTTATCAATTTTCCAAACCAAGTTTAATAAAATCTAAAAGCCAGCATGTTCCGGCCATTTTCCTGTGTGTCTGGTCAGATAGGATACAGTTAGACAAAGAGAATAATTTGGGTGGAAGGAGGTTTTGAAGGTGGTGTTATCTGAACTATGAAATGCTAATGTCTCTGTGACTATTGTTGCTGAATACCTGATTTACTTTTAAGTCATGTTGTTTTATAGCCAACAATTTACAGTGGTTTTTACCTAAGTGTGCATTTATTCAACAGTGACATCCAGTGGCACAATTAAAACTCCTAGTCCTTAACACAAATCTTGTTGAATTTTAAATCAAGTTTTTAAATGATAAAAATGATAAATACTGTCTAAGAAGCATATACTTACTTGACACTGCTAATCGTACATCACTTGTTTAACTTCCTCTATTTTGTTACCAGTGCCTCAAAATGAGATAATTCTCAAGTCAGGTGACTGATTGGCTGGAGATAGGAGCCAGGAAGATGGCACCCAGATGGCCAAAGCATGCAAGCAACACCTTTGGACACACGGGCCGTCTGTGGGTGACTTCCCTAGGCAGGGCTGTGCCAGTGCTGTTTATGTAATGTCATGTCTAATCAGCACGGAGCAGCCCAAGGAGGCTGGTGTTACCATTGCCCTTTTACTGATGAGGCAACTGAGGGATAGGAGAGTGAGATAACTTACCCAGGACACACAGTCAGCAAGAGGTGGAGTGGGAACAGGAGCAGAGCGTATAGCAAAGTCCAGAGTCCATGGTGACGCTGAGATTTTCTTTCCTTCATTAAAACCAGCATTTTGTCCTGTATGTGAAGGACAGAGTTTAAAATATTCATCAAAATCAAAGACGATTCAGCACATGAGTTTATAATACTGTGTAGGTACAAACATCTAGCATAGAACTTAGCAAATAGAAAGTACTCAATAAGTGCTAGTTGAACTAAATCTGGATTTATATCATATTAGCAACATGTTAGTTGTTATTACTACTGGATGTTAAGTGTTCCTCACTACGGCACCTCAAGATAGTACTCTCCCGCTCCTACAAGACAGGCTTTTCTTACAGACATGTTTCTTCTTCCTAAATATCTATTTGTCTCCGTACCTAAAAGAATTACCTTAGTTCCAGGCACCATCCACCATCATTTCTTGAAAGGAAAATAGCAGAGACGCTGGATCCCCTTCTTACTGGGTGAACTTGGCCAAGTTATTATCCTTTCCAGAGATGCACTGTGAGCTGCTTTATTACAGCGAATTGAACTGTTTTCCTTAGACTCCTTAACAGTAGAATAGGGGTAACGAGAGTACCTACCTCATAGGGTTATTGTGAGGATTAGATGCGTTAATGTAGGTAAAGGACTGAGAATAGGATCTTACACATAATCAGTGCACAGTACATGGTAGTGTTTATTACTTTTTTAACACCCATCACCAGCCTTAGAACTCGTGAAAGCTATTAATCTTTACCCCGTCTAAACTCCTTGATCAGACATCTAGAATTCCTACCGTTTCTTAGTCAGAGTGATTGCAACCAATGACAGTAGATTTAGAATCTCTTGTTACTGATCAGTCTGCAGAAAGAGTTATAGTAATCAGATCTTAAAAATGGTTAAGAGGCGTATGTAATTTTAGAGGTGGTTAAGAGCACAAACGAGTCGGCGCCATTACTTACAAGGTTGATCTCGGGAAAGTTGTATAACTACTATAAATCTCTACTTTCTCATTTGCATGTTGGAGGATAATGTTGGCAGCATAGGATGGTTATGAACATTTAACAGCATTCAAGCGTCAGGCACGTATATGCTTGGTCACTTATTGATTCATGTCATCATTGTTACTGTTTTATATGTTTATGATCACAGAGGCACTTATTCTTGTAATATATCATTGCTTTCTAGTTTTTTGAGAAAGTTGAGGAATCAGGTCTGGAATCTGAAGGAATTTTTCGACTTTCGGGATGTACTGCTAAAGTCAAGGTACTGAACATTTTGTCTCTTCTAGGTAGAGTTCTAAGCTAGCTAGACCCCGTTCACATAAGCATCGGGTATCTAGTCTTTGTTGTTGTTTATTAGATTATCACTTGGTCCTTCCTAGTATTCCTAGTATTCCTAGTATACCTGTGGTAACATGTTTGTTCCAGAGTGTTTTCATGATCCACAATTTTAAAAATCAAGGCAGAAACATTAAAAAACCAAAAACAACAATGAAATAGCACATCAATTCACCATAAAAAACTGCTGCTTCCCTTTCGTTTGGAAAAGTTGAAACGTCTCACCACTGTTTTGGAGGTTAAACACCTTAGTTTGTTGTGTTCCTCTCAGCCATGGAATTCACTAAGCCAATGTTATATGAGCCTTTATTTCCATCATTCGTTGGTTTACACATTCCTTGGCTCTCCCTTTAGTGAAAGCTGTTACAGGAATTTGTAGCAGTGGCTATATAACCACTAGAATACTCACTCAGCAGTTCCAAAACCCAGTTCCACTTACGGTAATGTTAACATCCACATCTAAAACCAGCTGTTCAGTGTGAATCTTCTTCCTTTGCTTCCTTACTTCCATGAGGTGACCAACTCTACAGTATAATAGCGCAAAGAATTATTAGAAAAGAAAAGCTTTTCTCATAAAAATCCACCAAAATATCCCACTGTGTCTGTGGTAGGCATCCACCATGGAGAGCTCCTTCCTGCAGTTGGATCACTCCCTGGCTTGCAAATGTGAAAACCTGAGCAGTTTTAAAAGATGGATCCCTGAGCAAACAGTCTCGGGGCAGGGGAAAACAAATGTGGTAATGTTTATCAAAAAGACATTTGTAGAGGCAAAACAGCGTCTCTTCATTAATTCATTTTGGTACATGCTTTGGGAAATTCTATTTGTATCAGTCTCACAGTTTTTATATAGAAGTGTGATGAGAGGTTTTTCTAAGTGGAAACTGAGAATAGATAGGCTGTGTCTATTGGATCCTCCAGAAAGCAGATGCTGAGATGGGTGAGGAGCAGAGGAGGGTCATGGCAGTACTGCTTCTGCAGGATGAAAGGGGCAGGAATCAGGATTGGCTGGGGTGAGGCTCCGACCACGGTGCAGGTCTGACAATTCCTAATCGTGGAGGAGCTGTGTGCTGGGCAGAATGGGCCAGGCCCTAGTACCCGTGCCTCCCTCCGTCGTGGGCTGGGGCTTCCTGCAGAAAATATGGCTGAGCCACATCTGGAAGGGGCCTGCAGCTGGGAGAGTCTGCTACCTGAGCTTTTGCACATGAGGGCGAGGTCTTCCGTGAAGGGAGGTCAGAGCAGGGCACCAGGACTCAGGGCTCCAGGCATGTTGAGGGGTTACGACTTCCCTGAGAGTGGAGTTGGCTGAATGCTGGCACAAGTTCTTGTGGAAGGCAGGGAGAAGCCCAACGGCTCCTTAAGGTTTATGCTTTCTAAGTTGAATCTGCTTTTTGTCTCCATTTCTCGTGTGTTTGGTTCCTACATACTCTTCTAAACAGATGTATCCTACACGTAAGGATGAAAACCATTACTTATTTTGGTTAAATCTTTGGTTATATCTGCAGTCAGAGAACCAAAATGAAAGAAAGAAATTTCCTAAACAGAAACATATTCCATCTCTTGAAACCTCTGTCCATAATTGGGAAACTATTTGCATATGTTCTTCCTGGTTCCTCTGTGTGTGTGTGTGTGTGTGTGCGCGCGCGTGCGTGCGTGTACACACGCATGCATGGGTGTATAACATGCATAATGGATATGACTTAAATGTCTTGTTTCTAAATCACCAAAAGGAGAAAACATTACAGGGCATTTCTTATGTGCACAAAGTTTAATGTCATAGCAGCAGTTACCTTTCTTTGTCTAATCTTCCACTGAAAAATGCTTCTCAAAGGCTAATCATTCCTTCAGAATGTTCTTATAGGCACATGCATTCCTGGACCACATATAGGTCAAAGTCTTTTTTCTCCCCAGTTTTACGTAGTTTCAGCCTATTTATTCCATCACTTATTAGTGGAAAATCCAGATGTTTTCATGGTTTGAGCCCCAGGAAGGCCAATGTGAAAGAAATCTGGGCAAGTGAACAGAAACCGGGAAACACTGCAGTTAGAAAGACATTGAAACGTGATGGGTTAAAGGGCTCTTTATTCCTCTCCTTCATTCAAGCTTTTTATTTAAGCTACCTCCTTTTTTGTAATTCATCCACTGAACTACTGAAAACTCCATTATAATAATCCTCGAATTGAACCACGTCGATGACTCCAGCCCTGTAGTCCGCTAGTGTATCATTACTTGTGAACGGTCTGGCCTGGCTTTGTGCTTAAATGCTTGGGGAGGCTGACAGGGAAGCAGCCCTGGGAGGAAGCTGCTGGTTTTAGCCAAACAGGGAACACGCAGCTGCGGAGCCAAGTCCCAGACTCGAGGCCTCAGCTCATTTGGAACCAATTTAATGCTTTGGTTGGTGTTTGCAATGATTTTCTTTCAAAAATGACAGAAATTTGAGCCAAACACCGGGGAATATATTTTATGGAAAGAGACAGACTGTTTGACATGCGAGTTTTTCTTTTTTGACTAGTTCGAATCATTCCAAGGCTGTTCTAAATGTTTTATAATTACCTCACCTGGCTTATTTAGGCTGGTCATTTGCATTTGTATAAAACTACCTCCAAAATAGAGTCAGGTTGCATTTTTGCTGAAGGGAGTTTTAATGACAAGACTTCTCATCCTTGCCTAGTGCTCTCAGTAACAGGGGTCAGAAAAACAGGGCTTCGGAACCTCTAAGTGCTCCCTGTCTTTGGCAAGGTAAACTCACACCTGGTTGACATGGTTTCACATTGGGACCACCATATAAGGTCAGCTCTGTTCAGAACCAAAAAACAGACATTCTTTCTCTCAGCGTTGCTTTATACCAGCCATCCAGACAAGATGACGCAGTATTATTCCCTAAACAGTCACACCGCATACGTGTGGGGTTCCCATAGTAATGACACTGCGGGTTAGAAGAGACCTGAGAGTGGGGGAGGGGCAAGCAGTCAGTGCAGCATTTATTGGGAGCTGTCAGCAGGACCTGCCACTTGTTTTGATCTTGGGAATGTCGTTTTAATGTTCCATTGTACATTGGGAAGCTTGAAGCACAGACCATACCCTAGTCAGCTGCAGAGTCAGGATAAAATCCTAAAGGATCTGGTTGTAGCACCTGCCCTTGACCCAGGTACCCTGTTGCCCCTTAGGTGACCGGGCACTACTCACAGGTTAGGATGGCCACATTCGTGATTCAGATAGATTCCTTTGGCAGAGGTATGTGGAAAATGAATTTGAATTCTTCTCCTCTCGCTGGTGCTTCCTGTGCACTTGGAAAACAATGTCCCCTTTGCTTTACTGCAGTGGTACCAGGCGATTGATGGGAAATGCTTACTCCTCCTCCTGTATTTTTCCTATTAACAACACTGCCATCTGCCCATTACAAATCAGATGGAAATCATCTTGGAAAATCATCTCTGATGATTCTTTCTCCCTCTGAGTCTCATATTCAATCCATCACTGATTCTTGAGAATTTTCCCTCCTGGGCATTTCTTAAATGCCTCCTCTCCTTTCTATCCTACAACTGTTTATCCAGATTAGTCCTTAGTTATCCGTCCCTGGAAGTGGTGCCGTGGCCTGATAACTGGGTTCTTTGCCTGTCACTTGCTTCCACCCACCTGACCTGTGCCAAGCTCCACGCTCCCCCAAATCATTTTCCCATCTGGCTGTCAGAAAAGATAAATTTACCCTTGCCATTCCTGTGCTTAGAGATGTTCCAGTCTGCCTCATTGCCTACAGGGTGAAGGCTAGTCCCCTTAGCACTGGCGCTGGCTGCTCTCCAGCCTCATTCCTTGCCCTTGATGTGCCAGCAAGGCTGAATGAACTGGAGTTCCGCAGACACTGGATCTGCTGGCATTTGTATCACTGCTTGAGCAGGATCCCCTTCGATTTCCTCTCTCCTGTAATCCTCAAGACTTGGCCCTAGCAGCGTTTGACTCCTCTCTTTCCTGGCTGCATAGCACCAATACATGACTTTTCTTACAGCATGTGCACTCTGAATTCGTAATATCAGCCCATGAAATAGTCCCACCCACTAGATTACAGGACACCGAAAGGCAAAGAATGGATCTCATACATCCTCCTCTTTTCAGAGCCCACTATATATCTTTCATTCTAGAAAGAACTTTATATTTATGCTTAAGATTTTGTAAAGTGTATTTATCACCAAAGCGTTTCTTGATTAGCTGAAGTATTCCTGTAAGATTGAAAGCTTCTCCAGGACAAGAAGAAAATCTCCTTTTGATATTATCAGTAGGGGTTAGAGGGTGCATCATAATCACGTGTATCTCTGTAAGAAACTTGTGCTGCCAGGGACCTCCAGTTTGCAGGCTCTGGGAGCCAAGAGAGTGATTATGGCTGGCTGGTTAATGAGCTGATCCTTATTAGGAAAAGGTCAGATGTGCACACTGACTCTGGCTGTGCATGCTCAAGGCCAGAAGAATTAGGCTTCTCATGAGAATAAAGCAGAGGTCTTAAAGAAACAGAGCTTTTAGAGTTCCCTTTCTAAGTGTCCTTTCTGGAGCAGTTAGTGTCAGCGGGGAGACTGACTATAACTGCTAGCATTATAGGTAAACCTTGTAGTTCAAAGGAGCAGTAAAAAATGAGTTTGCCTTTGAAAAGAAACATGAAGCCTGAGTGGCATTGATAATCAGATGAATTAATAATGTAAAATTTGTAAGCCAAGTAGAACTTACAGAGGCTTAGAGATCTTTTTAAAAGTATTTGCACAGTGTTCCAAACCTTACGAAGGATTGGGCAAGCGTGCAAACATGTGGAAGACGTGTCTGTCTTGGAATAAAACTTTGCTGTCACTGCTCCAGGAAGATGTCATAGGTTTGCATGTTGCAGTGAGGTCAGAGTTACTTTGTTGGGATAGTTCTCATTCTGTATGTGAACTGGCTAAAAGGCAAACCTTCTTGATCTAATTTAGAAATAGAGGATAGCAGAAGGCATTATGAAATAGGGGGAACGGAGACTTTGTCAGAATCCAACAGTGTATTTATCATGTGGGAATAGTGGTATTCTGCCAAAACCACAGAAATGAAACTGTGATCAGAGTAGAGAACTTCTATATTTGTGTAGAATTAGAAAATTATTTCAAGATTAACATTATCTTTTAAATATTTTAGAAAATTGTTTTTAAAAATTCATCCTCACATAGCTATTTCCCTTAATCCCTTTGAAAAAAATTACTCTTAGGAGACATTACCTTACCAGTCTGTTTACAAAAATACTTTATATAAGAACAGTTTTGGAAGGGGAAAATGGGGTCACGTGGTAAAAACACATTGAATATTGACTGTTTTCCTTGATTTACAGCAATACCGTGAAGAACTTGATGCCAAGTTTAATGCTGATAAATTTAAGTGGGACAAAATGTGCCATAGAGAAGCTGCAGTAATGTTGAAAGCATTTTTCAGAGAACTACCCACCTCTCTCTTCCCTGTGGAATACATACCTGCCTTCATCAGTCTAATGGAAAGTAGGTGGAAGACGTCAAATGTGAATACGCTAAGATATAAGGTCATTAAAGTGAGAGCAGAAGAGAGATGCTGAATCAAATGTGCTCATGTATAGATTTGCTGTGTCCTGACAGTGCTTGGTGGAATATTAAGTTTGATGACAAACAGTCACCTACTTACATACTTATATACTTAAGCCTGGTTTAGAGGGTTTTATAATCATTAAAAGGCAGAGGGGTTTGCAGAAAGACCAGGCTCTTGAGATTTGGATTCCTGTGCCACCATCTGTTAGCCATGCAATCAAACCTTCTGAGCCTCAGTTACTACGTCTGTAAATTACAGATCATAATTACTTGTCAGGGTAGCCATGGATATTGAATGAAGTCATTTAGAATAGAGCCTGGTGTGTGGTAATGCATCAAAAAATAGGACATCACTCCCTTTCTTAAATCTGAGGTCCTAGGTCTGATGATGCAGCATGCAATAAATACTTCACAGAAGATAATTTGTCTCTGAAAATTACAAAGTCACATCACGTTTCTGAAAATTACAAAGTCATATAGATTAGGCCTTTAAGTGAAATGTGTGGGCAAAAGCACAAAAATTATAAAGTGTGTGTCGTAATTGACAGGAATCATTTGGCATGGTTTGAGCATAAAGGTTGAATATTGCGGAGGATGTAACAAGAGAAAAGTTTGGAAAA